GGGTTAGGTTTTTTTTGAGGTTTTCCTGTACACCTGGGTTTCAGAAGCTTCACTAAAATCTCCAGCCTATTTGTACATGTTTCTGAATGCCCTGTATGTGCAGAAGTTATGGGCGATGTCAGGAGCACTTGGCATTAGCCCAACCCTTCTCGGTAGATCAATAGTAATAGTTCAGGCAATACTGGTTTTGAAAAATCCTATTCTTTTCCTCCATCAAACATTTATAACTCAGTCCTGTTGCCTTGAATGTTAGTAGTAAAACTTCCATTGATCTCCTGGACACAACAGGAGGCCTATGAGAAGGAGCAATTTTATAGCCTATTGTAACTATTACTTTAGAAGACAACACTCTTTACAAATTTGAATTAATGCTGAAACAAGAAATTGACTGCTTTATTTGATATTTTCCCTGAGAGATAAATATACAATCCTGACGAGAAAGTACCATGTATTTTTCTATAGTAACATTAATACAAGTTCATTACATTTTTGTCAGGAGGTAAATTTTATAGATGTGATATACAGCATATGACAAGGGTAGTATGTTTGTCTTCTCTCAGATCTTCTCTGTGGCTTGTTTCAGTGGGAGGGAGTGAATATTTGGAAACGTGAACTCATTTTAGCCATCGAAAAGTGATCCCCTTGTGAGTTGAGTTCACCCCCCGGCACTATGATATGATACGTGTCAAGAGTATGGATAACAAATTACAAGGGCTGCAGTGCCAGATTATAACAGCTCCTAATTTTGAGATGCAGTATAAACAAACCATAAATACATATGTATATTAAAACAGACATCCCTGATTTTCAACTGCAGGCCTTTATAAATGCCCTTCCCACAAATCAGAGTGATTTGCTTGTCTTTGATATAAACCCTTTATTCCTTTAATTCTTTGTATTGCAGGTCATTTAACTTGAGTGCTTTATGTTTATAAAGTAGACACATACCAGGCTGAGTAAACTCATAATCTGAATTTTCTCCCTGATCTTACTGTCAGTTACAGTCATCTGCTTTACACAGCTTCTGCCATCAGTTTTCAAGCTGTAGCTATCAAAAACTCTGAGACTTTCCCACAAGATGAGTGACCGTATACCATATGTTGCATTTGTCGCCCATAGCAAATAGGATGATATAAATCATTTGTCCTTTCCATCGTCTGTCACTGTCTAACTGTGTTTTTCTGTACATTTTTCCTTGCTTTGCCACTCTACTTATAACAGAATATGAGGGGAAGTACTAGTATCCTCTCTTAGTATTTAACAGTTTTTAACAGTTAATTAAAAGCTGTTTAATCCATGGACAATATGAAAGAGGGTCAAAACTTCAAGTTAGTGTGGAAATTTATAAAATTTATAGGAATTTTTAACTGCTCTTAGGTTGCTTGTGGGAAACTGCTGTAACACAGTTTCTACTATCTTTTTAAAACCTAACTTCTGTAATATCCCATTATATTCTATGAATTATCTTAGAATTGTTTACTTTGGTAAAGTGTAAACTGAGGATATATCCCTCCAAAAAACTTCCAAATTTATTATTTGAATGTATTAAAATAAAGTGTTCTCAAATTATAATTTTAAATAACATTTTTGTTCATTTTATTACAAGGGTAGGTTGGCAGGTTATTATTAAAATAGTTGTTTTTTTAACGTATTTAATCAAAAAGGTTTTCTTTCTGAGTTTTCTGGAGGATTTCTGAGTTTCTTTTTATGGCTGATGCACAGTGTTATAACTCTTCTATTTTCAGGAAAATAGATTTAACTTACAAGTTTCTATTTACTTTGTCAGTTAAGCTTGTGGGATGTAATCAGAAAAAATGTCTGACTACCAAATACATATTTAGTACCACTCAACTGTGCTTTCAGAATTCCCTTTATGAACCCTTGATAAAAATTGTTATGCCTTCATGTGTTTTCTCTGTTTTTCAGGGAAACCACTAGGTCTGTACTCACTGTGTTTTCGGGGGCACCAAAAACATACTGAAAGCTATCATCAGACTTAGGTATTTCACAAGGTGATTTTAGTACTGAACAGAGTTTCCATGGTTGCCTTTTATTTTTTGTTTCCTATGCCCTCTGGACTGTTCAGCTGTGACAGTTGCATACAATAGATTGTGTTACATGGCTATCATATAGTGCATTGTGCCCAGATGTATTCTTTCAGCATTTCATATTTTCCGTTAACAAAAGCCTCTTTGTTTCCTAGGTATTTTCTTTTGTAGGCTTTTGTTCAATGTTCTTTCTGTGTCACATGTGAAATTGAAGTAAAGCTTAATGTGAGGGTGGGGGTGGTGATGTTCAGTATGTTTTTGCAGCACATGCAGTACACCTAGAAATTTCTCCATATACTTCTAGGAGATATCTACCTTATGGAAGTCTTGCATGACCTCCATCTAGAGATATTCTTATTCATACATGCTGGGCTTTATTGTGATTCAGTGGCACCTGATTCTTCCAGTGCTTCCTTTATTATAGACCTAGATGTACGTGGAAGTTATGGTTTCTGTCAGTGGGAGGAGATTCATCTGGCACTGTACCACTGAACCTGTGTTTTTCTTCTACATTACTGGTTTGGTTAATTCTCCATTTCATAGAGACTTCCACCCACAAACCTGAAGGCAGACTGCGTATAATCAGGTGGTGTAGTGCATATGCGATAAGGAACTTGTAAATATCTTATCACTGCGTGGTTCTTCAAGATGTTTCCAGACCTGGTAAGTCAGGTCAATCTTAGAAACACCCCGTGTTGAATGTAAAAGAAGTGTCAGAGTGTTGGTTTTATTTGTGCGTGCCCAAAATAAAAGGCTCTCCTGCTTTAGCTTTATATAAGAAAGGCTAGTTCTTAACTTTATTATTCTGGCAGAAGATCACCTTATGGGCCTGAAAAACTAATGGCATTTATCCTGAAAAATAGAAGTTGCAGTTTTAGGAATAGAGGGTCTGTTTAGTCAGATACTTTATGATGTTACTTTTAAATCCAAACTCTGGTCAAACCTCCTCTGGTAGTTGGGAGGAGAGTTCTGTCAGTAGGAGAATATACGTTATCTGCACTGTAATTGAGTGCTGAGAAAATTCACATTCCAGGTGCACTGTCTTGGAGACTGCCCTCAAGCAAAGGTGAAAACATAAGATCAACACTTAGAATATTCCCAACTCTCTTTTGTAAAAATATAAGTTATGTAAAAATGGAAGAAAATCACTAGTGAGAAAAGGGAATGCCATCTTGAAACATTGAGAAAGAAACAATAAAGAAGAAAGTTAGAAAAGTACCTATGCCGATTAGCTTGTAAAATTTCTGCGAGTGGAACAAATTGAACTCTTCTGGATTAGACTTGTGGAGCCAGACTTCTGCTTTTACCAGGGTTCTTGATCATAGCAGACTATACAGCTCAAGCAGGAGGAAATTGAAGAGTCAGTATTTCTGCCTGTTTCCAGCAGCTTTTAACTCTTGCTCTGATCAGCAACTGAATTGTTGGCATATGGTTTGAAGCATGAATCAAAGCCCCACATGGTTCCAAAGACTCCTGTTTGAACTGAGCATGACGCCATTCCTGAGCTGTTTTACCAGATCCCCCCAGCTTGCTTTTTGGTGCGGATGTTTTATCATGTGCTGAGTGTACACACAGCCAAGGGAAGCAGTAATCTGTAAGGAGACTCTAAAAGCTGCCACTTCTGCAACTTTGTTGAAATCAACTATTTTCCTAAGAAGTCTAATGTAATTTTGTCCCCTTGATCACTAGTACTAGTCAAACTGTATTCACTGATTTGCCTGACCTGACAAAGATGCATGTAGAATAACAGCCCAGCTTCTGTCAGAGTATCTGACATCAGGTTACTGTTTAATTTTGCTTGCATCCATGGTAATGGTCGTATCCAGTTTAGTTTAATCAGCAGTTGACTGTAACATGGGGAGGGAAGCCCATGCGTATATATATAGTCTAAACTGTATTTAGAGGCTCTTGACATAAATAAATAAACTGAGCTAAGTAAGAGATCACACTGCTTTTGTCACTGAACCCATGCTGTTTGGAGCACTACTATTTAGAGCGGATTTTTTTTTTTTTTTTTGTGCTGGCAAAATAGCCCTGCACTGACAGTTGAAGTGTGAGGTACAGTTTCGGTTTAGATACATTGCAGACTTTGTTCTGCAGGGTAGGGGTATGAATTTACTTTTGAGAAGGAGGTCAAATAGGGGTTTCATATTCATTCAGCTCCTTATGGGAATTGCTGACTTCCTAGTGAAGTGGTCAAGGATCATAAAACAGGCACAGACAAAAAGCTTTGATATTTTTTAGCCCTTCAGGCATGATGCAATTGTTGCAAAATTAAAGGTTTTGTTATGAGAGTTAAAGAATTTCACTGCAGAAATTAATTGATCCTGAAAGACTCCTCCTTTACCTCATCCACTGTAATCAAAAACTTACAAATCATCTTTGTGGAAGCAGAACATGTTTCAGAGTTTGTAGACAAAATCTTGCTTTATGAGTATTTAACAATCATACTGTGGTGGGAAATAAAAGCCAGATCGGGACAACAACTTCATGAGATACTTCATATCACCATGGTTTATCTAGCAGCAGTGTGATGGATCAGGTCCTGTTAAGTCATTGTCTTTCTGGGAGGAAAGGGAGAGATGCTGCTTGAGTAGTGGTCAATGGTTCCAGCTTTTGGTTACACTGTATGGACAGTCCTGTCCAACCTTCCACTGCCAGACTTTATACTATAAGAAATAGTGGTAACATTTCCCTGAAGAGATGAGCTTTATCAGGGAGACACAGCAGAGGAAAAATGAAAAGAGGTACCTAAGACAGAATAAGATATCAGAAATAATGGGCTGCCCAGGTGTTGGGTAATGTGCTCGTCATGGCTAGCCCTTGTCAGGCAGCAGGTTTTCGTGCTGATTTGGCCCAGCTGAAGTTATGTGGTTTTACACATATTCACCCACAGTTTTGTCCTGCTCATGTGGCATGCAAAGGAAGGGTGAAGCTAAGAGAAGTGGAAACATGAGTGACCAAAACAGGTATTGATCTCAAAAAATAATAAAGTTCAAACTGTATAAGAGTATTGAAATAATACTTCAAAAACCGCTGGTATGGGAGAGGTACCTCAGACTTTTGAACTGACTGACTACTTACAAAAGCTGATTAAGCTTTTGGGTGTCCTACGCTTACTCTAGAATCATGGTTTTCTAGACGATGTTTTATGCCTTTTTTGGTCCATCATGCAGTGGAAGGCATGATGTGAATGCATCAGGCTAGTGAATCCTAGCACAGAGGCTGTGCCATGCTAGTGGAAACACACGGCACACCAGATATTAACTCTGAGAGTGCTCTCATTCTGAAGCCCCTTTTCAGTGCTCAGTTACGATCTACTGACTATCTCTGTAGTAGATACTGGGGCTTCAGGCATGTTGTGTTGAATCACTGAGCCTTTAGGCTGGTGCTTTTATGCCAAAATAGTTATATTGATGTAAGGGTCCCAAACCTCATTGAATTGAAAAATGTTGGAAGAGGAATTTGGCATTGACTCTGACTAGAGAGAATGAAAGAGGTTAAAACCTTGGTTAGCTTTTATTCTGTGTACCTAATTCAGAGTTCAAAATTACACCATGTTTTAATTAAACCTTGTCGAGGTCTCTTCTGGTGTTCACTACAGAAAATGAAGAAAGGGAGAGAGAGGTGGGAGAAGAGAATCAACTGTTTGCCTAATTGTGTCGGGTGCAGCTAGATGCCAAAAATGCATGGGGACATGTAACAAAATATATGTTGCTGTCTCAGTTTAACAGGTTTTTAATAGATTCATCTGTCAAATCCCATTGCTATTAGCATATGATTTTTAAATTAATCTTGGGTTTTGGTTTACTTTTTTCTCTAATGAGCTATTTACAGGGTGCCTCATTTTTACTTCAAAGGTAGCATAGAGAAAATTGGAGAAGAAAGCTGCACCTGGGGAATGGAACAATTTCAAATCTACAATCTTTTGGGGTTTTCTCCTTTTGTAAGAATATATTTTCTAAAAAATCATTGGGGACAGCTAGACTTTTGCATATAAAATCTTAACCTGTCTTTTGCAGAGAAGATTATCATGAAGACGGGTTCTGTCAGCCATACAGGGGAATTGCGTGTGCACGAATCATTGGAAACAGGACCATTTATGTGGATTCCCTCCAGATGCAAGGGGAAATTGAAAACCGAATTACTGGTAAGCTTATACATCTCTGTAGCAGGCCAAAAAGCCTTTGTGAAAGTATCCAATTCAGGTATAGTGTTATCATGTTTTATTCAGGTATAAATAATGTTATTGTGTTTTTCAGTTTTATTGGTCAATGACCAAGACATCCTTCTATTAAGGTTTAGAGGACATGAACCAGTTTCGCACTTGTGCAGTTAGCAAAATGTGGAGCAAGAAAGATGAATATCTGCTGTCACGTGTAGAAGCTTTTTCCATGTCCTTAAGTAAAATGTCAGAACATTGACTTTTTAACAGCTTGTAGTTTATACTGGAGCTTTTGCATGATGGATTCAAATAGAAGATTTAAAAAAAAATCAATTTGTGATGTAATAAAAATTAGTGGGTTTTGAATTTCTTGCAAAATGTTTAGTGGCTTTTCCCTTGGGTTTTCTCCCTTCTATTGCATAATCCCAGCAGAGTCTGGATTTCACATTGGAAAAAAATATAATATAAACCAAGAGTCAATCTTCCTGTGCTCTGCCCCTGCTGATGCTGTACGTCAACACAGGTTTTCTTCACTGGGCCTCTGTTAGCTGACATTGTCAGCTGTGACTCTGATGTACACCAGTACAGCAAGCAAACGAATCCATGAAATAGAGCAAACTGTTTATCATAATATATGACCAATTAACTCAGTCCAGCAGGAGCTTATTTGTGTCTGGCCAGATATGGCTAACTAATTGAATCCACAATTTTAATATAACTAGTTGGCAAAAAGAGTCTGACTTCACTTGTCAGCTCCTTAAATATATTACCTTAGAGGTGCATCGTCAAGCCAGAAATCCGGGTCATTTTTTTTCTGTTCTTGAGATGGTGATCAGATTCTGGGACTGGTAAAACCCAGGTGCTGACCTTTCCTTGTGCTATTACGACTCATTCCCCTCCCTCCTTTCTCTTGTACTCTGTTGTAATTCCAGCCTCTTTAACCATTATGCCATTAATTAATACGTACTATTGATAGCATTTTTTTCTACAACATAATCTTTATCCTGTTTGAATGTTCTTCAGCAATAAGGAAATGTTCAGCTATCTGAAACGATTAAATCTGTAACTCCATGAATCATGTTCATAATGGCCTTTTCAGAAATAAAACAACCAAAAAACTGTGATATATTCTAGAAAATGTTTATTGATAAATTACACTTGTTTCTGGAATATACAACATGGACATTCATGGCCTGGCTGCTGGATCCCTAATACTACTGATTATCAGTTAAATTTTTGAGGCTGAGGCTGGGAGTCTCTCCTGGAGTTGAGGAGAATTTCTGATGGAACTGTTCTCTTTGAGGAAAACTCTGTGAACCACCAAGTAGAGCTGCCCAGTGCCTAGCTAGGCAGTAAGGATAATCTGTTAATAATAAGGCATTTTCAAACGATATGCATCTGAAGGACATACCAAATGCCTTATGCAACATAACCTTGAGGATTTCACAGCATGCTTGGTTCTTACGAGTCTTCTTGTATGTAAAATAAGTATTGCCACGACTGGGTGTTCTCTGTCCAAAGGACAGGGTATTTTTGAAATTGCGGTAGCTTGTTAGATTAAAAAAAAATAAAAATCATCTGCTGTGTAACTGCGGCTGAGATTTTGCTCATACTTTTGCCCATACTTCATGCGTGCAGTTTTTGGTGGAAGGCCTTGTGCCCAGAGCTGTAGGGTGTTCAGGGGAGGCTGTGCGTGGGAAACGGTGACACCTACTGCTCGACACGGAGATCATTTAACTAGGTTAAAAGAAGGACAGTTCTGGAGAAAAACTTGAGCTATGACTTGAAAGACTGGTCAGTGCACAGACCAGACCCCTGACCTCTGCATATGTGTGGCTAGCAATGTCTTTGTTGTGCTGTTTAATATCTGTTTAATAACTAAAAAAATAAACCCCTTAGATGCCACCACAGTCCTTACGGCTTTGGCACGTCTCATCAAAATAAGGACATGATTGTGAATTGTGCACTTTTCACTCATGCTGATCTAGATTCTGTAACTCCCTCACAAAAATTAGTGTTTCAAATAGCCAACAGTGATTGCTTCACTCCTCCAGGTTTATTTTTTCACTGTTAGTCTTTGGGACAAGCACATGTCACAGTTGTTTTTTGAGGCCTGACATCATGCGTGCATTCAGTGTTCCCTACATGACTGATAAACAGTTATATTCCTGTGTTAAAATAAGCAGAGGTGTAAACAGTACAAAAGGCTGGAGTTGGGGCTGCTTGCTGCATGTGTCATGTTTAGGAAGATACAGGAGACTCTCTGATAGCAGGTGGCTGCAGGAAGTAGATGGTTGATAGGAGAGAGCTGGACAAGAGGGAAAGGACTGATTTGTAGCTTGTAAATAGACTGCTGAATGACTTGAACTGCTCATTTCCTCTCTTTTAACAGTGTGTGTTGGTGGAACGTGCCGTCTAGCAAGCCTCATTCAGAAATGACGCTTTCCAGCGTGGGAATGAACATTTCTACATTTAAAAGTTGATTCATCCCCAGATACATGCTGCACATGTATATTTGTCTTTTCTTTGCAATGAGCAAGAAAATTCTCAGCTAAATGTTAGTGTGTAGAAGCTGAGAGCTGAAGGGGAGGATTATGTTCCTAACGCATTATGACTTTCATCTTAATGTGATCAGTATGTTGAGATTGATTGCAGTCATTTTTCCCAAAACTGCTGCCTCTTGGGATTTTCATGTCTATTAATAGCAATATCTCCTCAAATACCAATGGCACACTTCTCTTGCCTGTCAAGACTTGAAAAGCACTTGCCTTGTTTATTGATCAAAATGTCTACAGGAGGAAGAACTTAGATGATCCTCCTTCAGATTTTACCTAATTAGGAACTTTGGAAATACATGTCAGTGTCCTGGCAGGTGTATCTTGTCTTCGCTCTTTATCCTTTCAAGTTAAAATTAGACATGTGCCAACAGCTTGCTCAATGTTAGTCACTTGGGTAACTTCCTAAGAACTGAGGTCCTACAAGCTCTGTGCAGACATCAGAGGGACACTGGGATGCTGGGTTTGCTTTCTGCATTTGTCAGTTCTCCTTTACAGCAGAAATGACATAATTTCCCCGCTGGTCAGTAGGCTTTCAGGCCCTCAGGAAAAGATGAAAGTTATAAAAGGCACATAACAGGAAAATTATGTTGTTTCTCAGGTTTTTTGAGTTAAGCACTTTTATTCCTTTCCAGCTGCATTTACCATGATTGGCACCTCCACACATTTGTCTGATCAATGCTCACAGTTTGCTATACCATCCTTCTGCCACTTTGTGTTTCCCCTGTGTGATGAGCGCTCTCGGACCCCTAAGCCACGGGAGCTGTGCCGGGATGAGTGTGAAGTTCTGGAGAACGATCTCTGTAGACAGGAGTACAACATCGCCAGGTCAAACCCCCTCATCTTGATGCAGCTACAGTTGCCTAAGTGTGAGGATCTCCCACGACCTGACACCTTGGAAGCTGCCAACTGCATAAGGATCGGGATCCCTGTGGAGAGACTCAGCCGATGTAAGTCTGGGTGTTTCATGACTGGGAAAAAGTAGGGTTTGTTGCTTCCTCAGATTGGGTCTGAGAGATGATATTTTATCAGTCATTCTTTTTTGTAAAGAAAGTACTGCTATAGTGGACGCTACTATTTTTTGTCATGTTAATACTGACTATAATCTTGCACTGTTGTAAGGTACAGTTAGGATGGCAAGGAACTTTAAAGGATGCTTGTTAGTACTGAAAAGGTACTGGGCTATAAAACTCTGGGCTATAAAACTCTGTACACACAACCGATTTGACTCAGAATTGCAAGGGGCAGCAAGGCATTGCAGGGTTCCCACCTCTGGTTCAGTCATTGCCTTTCTGGATGAGTCACCCCATACAGCTATTTGTGAGTTCTGTTTACTTATCAATAAACCTCGAATAGGCTGTGGAAACTTCGCTGGAAAAATCTGTTAAGAAATTAAACATTTAATGTTTATTCTTTCTATATAGAACTCCACTCCTGTAAATTGAGCTTGGAATGTAATTGTCTTTCTTCACCCATACAGGATGCATGAAAACACCGATCTTGCTTCTGTGAATTTATATTTTCCTCCAGGAGTAGAAGGGCTGTTTCGTTGTCAGTAATTATGTGCTGACAATTTTTCTGCCTACTCTGTTTCCTAGCAATTAATAACCACCCTCTACAATGAATGTTACAAGAAAGCTCCAAGAGACTAAAGATGTTTAAATTTCAAAGTGTGATAAGATTATTCTGAATATCCACTGTCTGAACCCACAGTTAGGAGCAGGGGTCATGGCATAATGGTGGGCATGTGGGCATGGAAGACTAATTGTGTGCTAGTAAGGTAGAAGGAGAAATAACTGAGAAAACGATGACAGAGACAAATCAGCCAGGGAAGAGGTATCAAGCAAAAGGAATGAGAATAAATCCAACAAAAAGTCTGGCAAAAGCCATCCGTGATTCTCAGAGCCAGCAATGCTCACTCTGGTGGAACAGCTGTGGCTTGAGTACCTGGGGGTTTGGAGGAAGGGCTTTGAGAGAGCAAGATTCCTGAGGACTGGGGCGGGGGATTCAGGAAAATGGAGAAGGTAATGTTGCAAATATACAGAAAAATGTATGACTTGGTTCAGATGACACATATGGGAGAGAAGCACTCAAAATTATGAAGAAAAAATAGCAAAACAGAGAAAGAATAAAGATAGGAGTTTACCATATATGAAAGTGATGTATCTAAAGAGAAGAAAAGCCTGAATCCCTTAATTCTAAAAAAGAAAAGAAAAGAAAATTAGCATGAGGCATTAGAAAATGCAGCATTAATTTCTCTAGGAAGTGAGCAGTGTGAGGAAGACGGGAATATTATTAGAAATAAAAGTTTACACTGTTGGCATCTGAAGACATTTGCTGAAATTAAACTCATATCTCTAATTTATTTTAACTTACCTTGTCCTGTATCTAAAGGTCCATACTTGCTCCTTAGTATAATGTTGCATTCCGAGTTACCAAATATTGGTAACTGAGCTGAGATACTCCACGGCAGAATCCAGAAATAACTGGGTGTAAGAGTACAGATACTCGCAGAACTGATATTTCAAAACCCACAGCTTTCATTTAAATCCTGAAGTACCTAAATTCAGGCACTTTTTGCATACATGGTCTATGCACTTCTACCCTTTTGGTCTTGTTTGCCCTTGATTGTTTTGTTATTTGCAACGTTCTGTCAAACCCTATGTTGCAGATCATCAGTGCTACAACGGTTCTGGAGCAGACTACAGAGGGATGGTCAGTGTTACCAAGTCTGGCCACACTTGCCAACTCTGGGATTCCCAGAGTCCCCACAGCCATGATCTGACAAGTACACAGTTTCCAGAACTAGGTGGAGGGCATGCATATTGCCGAAATCCTGGAGGTCAGATGGATGGGCCCTGGTGTTTTACAAAGAATAAAAACGTACGCATGGAACTGTGTGACATACCTTCTTGTAGTATGTATTCTCTTTCTTTTTTTCCCTACTACTGTCCTGAATCCTGTGCAATTTTGAATGTCCCCTATTTTTACAAGTACAGTTCACTTAAGAGGGATATGCTTTCAAATGGTTCACTTGCTGTAATGCAGCACCCTTGGTTTGTGTTGTAGGCATTTAGTATTTTCTGGAGATCAGAGCTTGTAACTGAGATACTGTGACACTTCTTTATTACAGATTGGATGCTTAAGCTGAGATAATGATTAATGATACTGCTGCAGTTTGTATTCTAACTTGCCAAATGCCAGACTTGACATACTTACACCTGTACGTGTTTGGTTTGCCCACACTACTCGGGTATATTGCTTTTGCTCTATATGGTGCCTTGCAGGCAGCAAGGATTTTCAGATCCTGTAGAGGGAGATATAGCACCATACTTGGTTGGAAGAAAACCTCGTGAAGAGCAGAAGCAGAGATGTCATAAAACAAATGATCTTATCAGAAAAGTCCTACACTGTCTGCTAGTGGCTCAGTACTACACAACCGATAGCAAAAATGCAAAGCACAGCTCTCACAGCTTAAAACTGTCCCACTCACTTCCCTGTATCAGAACAGCTTTCACTGCGGAGCTGTTACAGTGATAGTCTTTGGGCATGACAAAGCAACTTAATACTGTGCTTCATTAGGAAGAAATGCATGTTTCTTGCAGCAACAGATGTGTCATAGAAATCATAAAAGCGATTTTGTTATAGATTGCCTGGATATTTAACAGCACTCAAAACTAATATGAAATTTCTTAGTTACTTCACTTTTTTACAGTAATGTGATTTGACATTTATAATAAATTTCTACATTGCATGTAACATGGTGTAAAGATAACACTGGGATGTGGTTGTGGTAAAAGCAGTAGCCACAAATAGCAAAACCACGGACTGCAGAAAACATCCTGGGCAGTTCCAATGAACATTTTGGACATCACTGTGCTTTCCTAGAGTCTCTATGTACCAAGAAAACAGCATTTTAGGAAGGTTGCAGAGCAGTCTTATTAAGTGTATTGATGGCTTTTTCATGTCTGTCTCACTCTAACATAAAAGCACTAAGTATAGAACAAATAATATCTCCGCCAGTGAGAAATGAGATTTACTTTATTATGGGCAGAAGTAGTACCAGTGGAGGTAAAAAGTGAGCAAAATGCTGATGAAATGGCTGAAGTTGGGCTAGAAAGCCAGACTGCATGCTCTGCTGCGGTTTATCACATTGAGTTCACTGCTTTATATACTGTGATGAAGACGACTCACTTGTTTTTTATCCCCTGAACAAGATAGTGCAATGATACTCAGGTCTATGTCCTGCAGTTCCTACAACCAGAAGCCTCAAAAATAAAGTGAAATAAATCACGTACTGTTACAGTCAACACATTAAATGTGGGGCACCTAGTTTATCGTCATACTGCTAGTTGCTATGTTCATTCAAGCCACTTTGAACTATTTAATGGAAAACTATGAAGAAAGGGGAGACAGTAATGTGACTGCTGTTTTCAAGCTGTAGGAGGTTACTTTTTGTTTAAAATATAGTATTAATAACCATACAAGTTTAGGGGTTTTTTTTGCTTTATTATCGAATGCATTAAAAATACTTATTGTAAACAATGAACGTTTCTGTGCCTGACAGGTCCACGTGACAGCAGTAAAATGGGAATCCTCTACATCCTGGTTCCCAGCATAGCCATCCCTCTGGTTATCGCCTGCCTTTTCTTCCTGGTCTGTATGTGCAGAAACAAGCAGAAGGCATCTGCTGCTACACCACAGCGCCGCCAGCTGATGGCATCTCCTAGCCAGGACATGGAAATGCCACTCATTAATCAACATAAACAGGTATTTTTTCCAGAGTTTGCTTAGGCCATGTATGTCCAAAGTGTTGTGATTTTCAGTGTCTCAGGTTGTCGGTGTTCGAATCGAGCCGTGTTGTGAGGGACCTAATTTTCATACTGTGCTGGCCATTTACTTCAGTGAAAACTAGGTCTTGCAATCACTAGCTGTATCTAGAAATCCTGGCCACAGGCAGCAGCTTTCAGGACAAAGTATTTTCTGACATTTGCCTTTACGTGTAGTCCTCATTCTGCCTGTGGTCTCGGTGACTGGAAATGTTGTTATTTCTGATCCAGTCTTCAGCCTGCAGCTCATTGTCTCTCCTGGTAATGACGCGGCTGGTTTGTGTGTTTAAAGCAGGATTCACAGTGGGGTTTCTTGTCTAATCTGTCAGCTCAGTCTTCTGGTATTCTGAACCACCACCGAGCAAGGAGCTGAGCCAGGGTGCAACATGTTTCTAAGGCAGTGCATCACAAGGGATGGTGAAACGAAAATGGCTTTGAACTTCTGTCTACAGATCTCAGCTCCTGCATGTGATTTTCTGGGTCAACTAACTGATCTCCACGTTAAAATCCTGTTCAGAGCTGATGTTGAATTTTTAATCACAGCATTTACAAGATGCAAGGTCTAAAAAGCAATACTCAATTTGGAACAATTGGCAACGTCTGTTCAGGAAACTATAGAATATTTCTAGGATATTACCAATTGTAACAATTCGCATTGATTTTGTATGATAAGGGGGAGGTTTGGGCTGAGTCTGGGCTGTGTTTGTGTAAGGCAATAGGGAATATTAATGGTTGCGTTTAAATAAAATTAATCATTTAGAGTTAATCATTTAGTGCTAGGTCGCATTGGCGTACTACTTACATAGCATTCACTCAGCATAAGTAGCTAAAGTTGCTGAAGCACTAGGCCGCAATGCATGAGCTTCACCTAGATAAGTTGAACTTGTTTTGAACTTCTACTTAGTTACATAGACGAAGGCTCTGAGATTGGTACAAAGCAGGAGATAAGGACGCTACTACCCTCAGCGGAGGATGCAACTTGCCAAGATCAGAACAGTTAAGAGACAGAGAAAGAATCCAGTAAGGAATAAGAAGTCCCCAGACCACAAATTATCAGTGGACCAGGGGCACATGTGAAGAACACTTGAGGGGCAGGTGCATAGATTTGAAGGGTCAAGAATTGCCCAAGAATTTTTTGGTTCTGGGTCCCTTTCCCTGGGTCCTGGGCTGTCCTTGCTGCTGTACCACTCAAATAAATTATTGTTTTTTTCTTTGGATTGTTGGATTATTGCCTGAGATTCTGCCATGACAAACCTAGAGTGAAGAAAGTTCTTTAACAGCTGCAAACTGTCTGGTCCAGTCCATAGTCTGTTGGCCACTAAAATCAAAGCTTGTTCCCAAATCACCTGTTAAACCCTCTTTCTAGCCAGCCCTGCTCCCTCCTTCTGCGGTGCCCTGTGTGTGAAGCTGTGCCAGCTGCATCTGGCTCTGTTGGGGAGTCCTCCAGCCCGTGCTGGTCAGGACAGACCCATTAGATCACTGTTACAAACTCCCTTTATCTCCCCGCCAGCGACAGGAGGGAGGCTCTGGGGATTTCTCACTCGGCTTTGCCACATTTCCTTCATGGACCAGAGAGAAATTCCTTCTTCCTTCTGCTCCTCTTTCACCCTCCTCTTCACCAGAGCTAGCACGTTTCTCAGCAGGGGTTGTTGCTGTAGTGCAATGGAGGAGAAAGGGCTACTGCAGAACTGAAAGAAAGAGGTTTTGTTCCTCCTTCTGCTGGAAGGGATGTTTCAGTTCACCCCAAGGCTGCCACCTCCTCAGCCAGTGCCCACAGCTTTTCTGACAGATCTCCAGTGGGCACCTCTGGGCAGATCTTTAGGGCAAGTGCAGCTGTAGTTTATAGATGTCACTGTTTGCCAGATTTACTCTGAACCAATTATTCATTTAGCTTGCAGGAAATATGGTTGTTCTTTTGTAAAAATAATTATGCTCATCATCTTGCAGCATAATTTAATTTACACTTCTGATAATAGTATAATTCATTTCAAGTTTAACTGTAAAATCAATATACTGATGTGAATATACAAAACTGAAAAGTCATTTTGGCCCAATTTATCTTCCATTTGGAACATCTAACCACTGGGAGCTTTTCTTTAATAAGAGATTCTGTTGTTTAGAAAACATTGTGATTTTTCACTGACTTATTTTCTTTACTTAATTTCAGGCTAAACTTAAAGAAATCAATCTGTCCACTGTGCGGTTCATGGAGGAACTAGGAGAGGAGAGATTTGGCAAAGTCTACAAGGGGCATCTTTTTGGTACAGCACCAGGTGAACAGACACAAGCTGTTGCTATTAAGACTCTTAAAGACAAAGCAGAGCTGGCTCTTCGAGAAGAATTCAAACATGAGGCAATGATGAGATCACGCTTACAGCACCCAAACATTGTTTGTTTGCTGGGAATAGTGACAAAGGAACAACCCATAAGCATGATTTTTAGTTATTGTTCCCACAGTGACCTCCATGAGTTCTTGGTAATGAGATCTCCCCATTCGGATGTTGGTAGCACTGATGATGACAAGACAGTAAAATCCACCCTCGAACCAGCAGACTTCTTCCACATCGTGACTCAGATAGCTGCAGGAATGGAATATCTTTCAAGCCACCATGTTGTCCACAAGGACTTGGCCACTAGAAATATACTGGTGTTTGATAAACTGAATGTGAAAATATCCGATTTAGGCCTTTTCAGGGAAGTTTACGCTGCTGATTACTACAAACTGATGGGAAATTCCCTTCTTCCTATCCGGTGGATGTCCCCTGAGGCTATTATGTATGGCAAGTTTTCTATTGATTCGGATATATGGTCATATGGAGTTGTGTTGTGGGAAGTTTTCAGCTATGGCCTGCAGCCTTACTGTGGTTATTCTAACCAGGATGTCATTGAGATGATCAGGAACCGACAGGTTTTGCCATGTCCTGACGACTGCCCCACATGGATATACACTTTGATGTTGGAGTGTTGGAATGAATTTCCCAACAGAAGACCAAGATTTAAAGATATACACAACAGACTAAGAACATGGGGAAACCTTTCTAATTACAACAGCTCAGCGCAAACCTCTGGGGCAAGCAACACCACGCAAACAAGCTCTCTAAGCACAAGCCCTGTTAGCAACGTCAGCAATGCTAGATACATTGGACCAAAACAGAAAACTCCAGCTTTCCCTCAACCACAGTTCATACCAGTGAAAGGGCAGATGAGACCAATGGTCCCACCTCCTCAGCTCTACATTCCAGTCAATGGTTACCAGCCAATGCCTGCCTATGGCGCTTACTTGCCAAATTTTTACCCTGTCCAAATTCCAATGCAAATGGCTCCTCAGCAAATGCCTCCCCAGATCATTCCCAAACCGGGCTCCCACCACAGTGGGAGCGGATCCACCAGCACAGGCTATGTAACAACAGCGCCTTCCAACACGTCGGTGGCTGACAGGGCTGCTCTGCTTTCAGAGGGCACAGATGACACGCACAATGGAACAGAAGACATGGCCCAGAATCCCGTCCAGGAGGAAGAGGAAGAGGAGGGCTCTGTGCCTGAAACAGAATTGCTGGGCGATAATGACACACTTCAGATGGACGAAGCAGAAATTCAATCAGAAGCCTAAGGAATTTGGCCTCATTGCTAAGAATTTCACATCACTTCCATGCATGGAGACTGTAGATCCTTAGGCTTAATAGCAGTGATTTTGATCTAACTGAAAGAAACAAAGCTGAAAAACCTACAGCCACGTAAAGTGCAGCAGTAATGATATACCAGGTTTATTGACCATTGCCACCATCAGATTTTGCAAATATGATGGTATAGAATTGCTGGGTTTAATCTTTTTTACTGTCCAACAGTTCTTGAGGGAAGCTGCTTTTCAGTTATGTACTGTTGCTGTGCAACATATTGCAGAGTAGCATTGCACATCATGTATATCATGATATGTGAGTGTAATGTTAGTGAATTATGCTTAAACCAATAACACAAAAAGGAATCCAACTATGGTTGCAGAATTGCTCTGAGCATAAAGAAGTGCCCTGGATGTGATGGACAGCTTAGTTTATAGTATTTATCTCTTTGATACAATGGACACAAGATTGTTGTTTGCTTTTTGAGTCTGAAAAAATAACAAGTTGAGAATACTGATCCATGTTTCTATTACGAAAACCAGAAAAGTAGAGAAAATGAACATAAAATTGGCTGTGCTGAGTCAGACCATGGGTCTGTACAGGCCAGCAGCATGTCTTGAAAGGCCATCGCTAATGTCTGCCCAGGGAAGACCACAAGGGCAATTTCCCTTGTAGAATTTCCCCAGGGTATTTCCCCAGCCTCTAGCAATTTGTGGCTTAGGGACTTCCCAAGCCAGAAGTGGAATTTTTTTCTGTTTAATAGTCCTCGATGGAATTTTCTACGATGAATTTATCCAAATGATTTTGAACCCACATAAACTTATAGTATCCACAACATCCTGTGGAATAACATGAGAGGAGAGAGGATGGCTTGCTTTCATCATTCCCAATGAATGACTGTGACAGAAGCTTCCAGATGAGATCGTCTGACTGCATTTGTGGATGAAAGTATTCCTTCTCTGCTGTGTATTTCCAGCAGCAAGCAGCCTTAATACACTGTTAACCAAAAATGGGGATATTGTAGGGGATATTGTTAGGTGTGCACTAACTTAACAATCCAACTTTAATTGCATATTGGTTATCAAGTACAAAAAAGGGCTCCACATGTATGTTCCTACATTGTAAAGGTGTTGGGGTTTGTGTGGGGTTATAGACTTACTTGATTTACCACAATTACTGCTGGATTGCATGTGAAACCATGTTTTTTTCCTGCCTTGTTAGTGAAAATGAACCTTTGAACTTTAGAAGACCAAAATAAGCAATACTGTACAAAGTGCTGGTTTTGTGCTTCTGTTTGCAGGATGAATCATGTACAGACCTTTAAATGTAATTTATGTTTTACTACATTTTATATACCTTTTTCATTGAAATATTTGGATTTTTGAATGAATGACTTTATAACTTAACCATTTACAATAGTCACAAGTGGTGCAGTTTTATTGTATTGCTGTTTCATTTTGTTAAACATGCAGACAGGTCCATACATTTCATGACCCTTTCTGTAACACAAGCAATACACAATCTCATTGTAGCATTGTAGCCAACACACACTATAGCTATAAGTTGTACATCCAACGTGGAGTATTCAATAAAGTGATGCAAAAAGTATGATTAAGTATGTTATCTTTATAGTTCCTACAGCCGCTGTTATGTTATGGTACTTTGTGGAAATAGAAATGGCCACAGTTCGTTATGTCACAGGTTTCATACCTAAACTACAACTTTTTATTTTATTACATTGGGATTCACTTGTAAGTTGTGTATCATTGTGATCTACACCCTGTGTTCATGGTATGACAGCATTACTTATTTCCAGCATTTCACCTGGATTTGGAAATGCACTGGTAGGGATAAAATATGAAAGCTTTATTACTTGTGTTAATATAATGCAGCTTTGGGTGCTATTACTAAATAAAGGACAAATAAATAAAAAAAATGTCAATTTTATTTACTTTAAGTTCTTTGTTTCTTCTAGGTTTCATGTTCTTATATTAATGAACTTCATTAGTCAACTATATTGGCTTCCTTTGCTAACTTACTGCCTGAGAAATGGAGAGTAAGTGGTCCAGTTACACCACAGATGTGTCAGCGAGAGAAGAGATACGATACATGAATGAGTGGCAGTCAGTGGAAGCTTCTGTGCAGCACTGTCTGAAGTTCAGCCCATTTCTAACAGTCAAAGGGCATTACAACTCCGAGTGCCTTGGGTGCAGTTTGGGAAAATCCTAATTCCCTTCTTCAAGCCTCATAAATTCAAGCCACTATAGTCAGAAAAACTTGGACAGATTCCTGTATTGGCTTTCCCATCCCCACTAAGGTGTGGATGTGCTCTCAAAGTGACGGTAGAGGAGCGGTATACAATTTTCTAGGCCAGGCTTGGTGACACACACAGTGCCGCAAGGGGATTTTCCTGCCCTCTGTTGATATGGACACACTCCCCTGAGCTGTGATGATCAGGGCTGTAACGACATGCAAATACCTCATCTGTGGCTCAGGTGAGCACCTCTGCACAAGTGGTTACCACTTACCAACACATTAGTGGCTACTGTAAGTCATATGGATTAGCAGTAACTTGTTGTTCTGCAACTCCCCAGGCTACTCCCTCCTGTGATGTCTGCTGCAAAGACCCAGCCAGAGTCAGGATCTGCCTTTCCTCAAGATTTGGAAGCAAGGGAAGGAAGAACAGGGAAGGGATGTGGTGGTAAGTGGATGGGACAAGGTGGTAAGGCGGGAATAAGGGAGAGGAGGGCTGGGGCTGGAGCCCACCAAAGTCAGCACAAGGATGCCCACTAAGGCATGGAAAGTTACTTCTTCCTGCCAGGGCTAGCAAAGGTGAAGTTTGTCCTGGTGGCAGAACAACTTTTCTACACAACAAATATATGTCTGGATGACCAGGAGAGGGCAAGGTGTTTTTCAGAAGAGTGTGGGATGTTTCAAAAGTTTTCTCTTGCCTGTTGCTAGTTCCCTACTTTGCTTTGGCTAGTATGATCTGCTGAGACTGACCTTGGAAAAAGTGGATAGAGCACTGGTAGCGTTCTCAGCAGCCCACTGATGAGGCAGGAGGCTGTGGCTCACAGACTGCCTCTTCCCCATCTCCAGTGGTATATGACACTGGACTTAGTGCATGCCCTACCCTTACCCATCCCAACTGGTTTAGCTGTCCTCACTCAAGCCTAGCTCTCTGATATGGTGCATGTCTTCGATCTTGGCTCAGATGGCTGTGAAGAAAGAGCTGTTGAAGAAAGAGGTGGAAGGAGCCCTGGTGGCCTCAGGCTCATCTCTTATGTGCAGCCTATGCCTGCAGAGCACCAAAATGCTCCTGGGATTCACCTCTGGGCAGGACAAAGCACCTCTGTGTTGAACAGGTCCCTGGCAGGGCTGGAGGTTAGCCAAGCATCAGCAAGTCTGAAGGTCTGCACTACCTATATTCATGAGTCCTGGTGAGGAAGAGACTACGAGGGAGAAGCTGGAACCTGAGGCAGGAGGGCTTTGGATGTAGCACAATCACAGAATTGTCAGGATTGGAAGGGACCTCTGAAGATCATCTAATCCAAATCCCCTGCCAGAGCAGGGTCACCTGCAGCAGGTTGCACAGGACAGCGTCCAGGCAGGTTTTGAATGTCTCCAGAGTGGGAGACCACAACCTCTCTGGGCTGCCTCTTCCAGTGCTCTGCCACCCTCAAAGTAAAGAATTCCCTCCTCATGTTTAGATGGAACTTGTTATGCTCAAGTTTGTGCCCATTCCCTCTTGTTCTATCACTGGGCACCACTGAAAAAAGACTGTTCCTCTCTACCTGGCACCCTCCTTTCAAGTCATTATAGGTATTGATAAGATTCCCCCTCAGTCTTCTTTTCTTTAGACTAAAAGGATCCAAGTCCCTCAACCTTTCCTCATAAGAAGGATGCTCCAATTGCCTAATCATCTTTGTAGCCATTTGCTGGACCCTCTCCAGCAGTTCCCTGTCCTTCTTGTCACAAGTGCCAAGGCAAAGTCTTGACCCATGACAGGATTTTCTTAGGTTCATGTGTCCCAGAGCATAAACAACCGAAGATCTATAGGATCCAAAAGTGCCTTGGTCAACCAGGCATCTGCCATTGCCTGAAAACAAGCATGGGTCCCTATTTGCAAAAGCATGTGGGGGTAGATGGGGAATGGATTTTCAAGCACAGGGCAGGGAGGATCAGGGACGATTTGTAGTCTGAGCAGGGAAACTAAGTGACTGTAGATATGCACACCTCCTCCACTATGCAAGTGCAGCCTGGCAAGAACACTAATCTGAATCCCATTCTGATATTGTCTGAGATCTGGGTTATTACAGGGTGTTTTCATTGGTTTTACCCATCAGGACTACAGGGAAGACAAAATTATAAACAGCGCAGTATAAACATCTGTGTAAGAACAGAGGATTCACCCACAGTGCAAATTGATAAGTACCAATAGGCCTTATTATTACAAGCTTTGATAGGAGCTTCATTCCTTCATCTGTCACTACTCTCAGTTTCATCTAATGATTCCCCTGAAGTCTGATGCAGAAGGACATACTCCTTGTGGAGGTATGAATCCTTTGCTTTCTGTATCTGCTATAGCTACGAACATCATAGTACGTCAAAGAGAAACTACTTCGCAGTAACAGTGCCTCAAACTTTTAGTAGAGGTATGAGTTTGAATTTGTTTCTCACTTATTATCTAAGGAGTTCATTAGATGTCACTTGCTTCTGTGTTCAGAGAAATCATCTCACTTTGGCCATGTGGAAATGAAGGGAAGAGGTCTGATGATTTCTGGGAGAGAGCTCAGGAACACTTGTTGAGTTGGAACACTCTCAAAAGATGTCAGATGTAAGGATGAAACACCCAGCTACAAGCACAGTTGTATCTTCAAATAAAGCCACATTTTACTGTTTTTAAGTCATAGTTTGACCCTGTGTAGACAGTAACTCTCTGTTTCTAGACAAGCAAACTCAACTGCGAACTGTTCTCAAAAACAGCATTTCAGTTACCCAAAATATGAAGAAAAAAATCCACTAGCAAAGCCATCCTCTATTTGAGGAAAGGCAATAAATTCATGTTGTAAGGAACAATGTATATTACTGTTCTATAAATAAATCTACAAACTGTTAGTGGAATGGCAGGAATCAGGTTTTCAGGATTTTCTCAGACAGTGGAAAAGCAGTATTAGAAGATTAGAATAGTAGCGTACAGCATGAACAATGACATGGCTCAGTGAACGAGGTTTAGTTCCGTCTTATTAGAAAACTGAATTTTGTTCTCATTTTTTCAAAAGTGACCTTGTGTAATCTTTCAGTTTTGCCAAGCTTGCAGATATGACAAGTTGTTGGCTTCTTCAATCAGCAGTATGAGGTCTGAGCAGTCTAGGGACTATCAAGCAATACTAAATGTACTCAGTTGGCAAGATAAATGAAGTCCACGATATCCTGGTCAGGCAGATCTTTCTCTAGACCAAAATGTACTGTGACAAAATGTAGG